GAAAATGGTGCTAAAACAGCAGAATGTTGAAAATAAAAGCAACTGTGTTAGTACCAGTTTCTTTTGAAAGGAAATTCAGTCCTGAAGCATTATTTGTGAAAAAACATAAAAACATTGAATGCAGATGGGAACTGATCTATATCTCTAGCTTACCTTCCTGCTAGTAAACTGAGAATTCTTTAGTAAATAGAAAGATTCTTCTCCTTAACTTTCTAGGACATTAATCATTGGAGCGTAGTGATGTACAGTTGCAATTTTCTCATGCTTTTGCTGGAACGTTTATATAAAACTCAATTTTATTGTGGTCAAACTGAGCCAGAAAACTTGAATATTTCTTGTTTTCTGTGTTTCATTCTACTCTTTCATATGACATTTAGTCTATGAATGGAAGGAAGTCTTAAACCAGGGGTTAAATTCCTTCATCAGACAATTTCTTGAATTTTTGTAAGCTGGTATGGATAGGCTTGTTATGTGGTAGTTGTGATAAGGATATGCAGGCGGATAAAAAGAGAGGAATGAATCATAGAATCACAGAATGTTTTGGGTTGGAAGGGACCCTTAGAGGTCATCTAGCCCAACCCCTCCTGCAGTGAGCAGGGACACCGCTAACTAGATCAGGTTGCTCAGAGCCCCGTCCGACCTGGTCTTGAATGTTTCCAGGGATGGGGCCTCCACTACCTCTCTGGGCAACCCGTTCCAGTGTTTCACCACCCTCATTGTAAAGAATTTCTTCCTTATATCCAGTCTAAACCTACCTTGCTTCAGTTTAAAACCATTGTCTCTTGTCCTGTCACAGCTGGCCCTACTAAAAAGATTTTCCCCATCTTTCCTGTAGGCCCCCTTTAGGTACTGAAAGGCTGCAATCAGGTCTCCCTGCAGCCTTCTCTTCTCCAGGCTGAACAAGCCCAACTCTCTCAGCCTGTCCTCATAGGAGAGGTGCTCCAGCCCTCAGATCATTTTATAGGGGCAGGATCACCTCCCTTGACCTGCTGGCCACACTTCTCTTGATGCAGCCCAGGTTATGGTTGGTCTTCTGGGCTGCCAGCGCACATTGCCAGCTCAAGGGACATGGTTTAGTGATGGGATGGCAGGGTTAGGTTAAAAGTTGGACTCGATGATCTCAAAGGTCTTTTCCAACCAAAGTGATTCTATGATTCTATGTCCAGCTTTTTGTCCATCAGTACCCCCAAGTCCCTCTCGGCAGGGCTGCTCTCGATCCTTTCTTCCTCCAGACTGTATTGACACCGGGGGTTATCCCGACCCAGGTGCAGGACCTTGCACTTGGCCTTGTTGAACCTCATGAGGTTCACACAGGCCCACCTCTCCAGCCTGTCCAGGTCTCTTTGGATGACATGCCGTCCTTCTGGTGTATCAACCGCACCAGTCAGCTTGGTGTCATCTGCAAACTTGCTGAGGGTGCACATGTATATACCTTGAAAGGCCATTTTTAATTACCTAATGTATCCAACATGGAAATGGAATTGGTACAAGAAGGTTGCCACATAAAAAAAAAAAAAAAATTCTGTGGCATCTTCTCACACACCTTAATTTGATGTTAGCAATTTACTTTCCATACTGCCCCACTGTGAAGGGGCGCTGGTCTCTGGGAAATACATTCCTTCCTTCTCCCTGAACACCAGAATTGTCCTGTGGGCATCACTACAGAGTCCTGGTGCTCCTGGACATACTAAATTACATATATTTAGTTCAAAATTGGAAAAGTGAAATAACCTTGTGCACTTGACCCCAACAAAACAAGAGACCAGTCTTATCCAATCTACTGTGAAGATCATACCTCCATCTGTATTTGTGGAAAGGAGCAGAACAGATAGAAGGGATAAGAGGTTCCTAATACTGTGGCCCAGGGGTGGGAGAAGAAGGTGGGTCACAACCTCTGTTCTTTTGGCTAGCCAACAAGATGTCAAGACCCTTGCAGGAAAAGTGATCCTTCCGTACCTTCCCAAGTGCTGCCTTCCCCCTTTCACTGTTCCTCATATCCAGGCCAATAAAATTTCCAGTTTGTTGGGATAGACGGATATTATTTTTGTATAGCATCATCATCATCATCATGATCCAAGATTAGTTTCCTTACATCCTCCAAACACAGGAATGTTTCAAAGGGGTTTTCTTTGGCTGTTGTGTGTGATGTTTTTCAAGCAGGGAGCCAGTTTAATCAGGATCATTCATTCCTTTGTTAGTAAGTAATCTCAGTAAAATAGAACTAGCTGTTACTTAAATATTCAAAAGTGTTTGCTATCTGAAAAGACGAGCTTACAGATTGAAATGGAAGATGAGTAAATGTTAATAGGAACACACTGTACTCTGTTCTAGCCCAGCAAAATTACATATGGATTCATGTTGTACATGCAAGATAGTACACTTTGTTCTGGTTTAATCTGGCAGGACTGTGCTCTCATTCTTGTACAGGATTGCACTAACTCCTTTGCATATTCAGTGGCTACATGTGTATTTAAGAATTACATGCAGATGAAATTCTTTGGCTAGATATTTTTAAAATTCAGTGAATATATCTTTTTTTACCCCCTCTATGACTATAGAAGAAATTACCTTATAAGACCTGATTAGATACTGCCACCTTAATTTGCCAAGGTGACATCTGGACAAAATGGTACATTATAGTTTTGATGCATTTACTGTTTTATCTTCAGGGAAAAAGAAAAACAGCTATTCAAAGCAAATACTTTTGAGGGCTCCCAAAGAACAGAAATGTAGAAACGTTTACATTGAGCATTTTCTTATAGCTCCTTCATTGTTCAGCAAGCCACGTCTTGCATCAGTGCATTGCATACTGCATTTCTAAAATTCTACTGAGTCAATGTAATTTAAATCTAACTTAGTACCAAATAGATTTTGATGCATAGCCAAAGACTTCAATTGCCATTAGAAATTTGAGACTGAAAAAAATATGGCCCTCTCCTATCATTCTTGAATGAGTTTTAAAATAAATATATAAGTAATAGCCCTTCCCCCAACTTTGAGATATAAGTTGAACCTTGCCATAAGAAATAGTTTCCTGGTTTTCTTTCTGATTTCTTTTGGCTTTTCACCTTTTAATCTACTACAAGGAATTTTTTTCATTTCCAGAATACTAGTAGTACTGGAAAGCTTTCTTCCAGAAATAAAATGTTCTTGTTTTCTGACACTTAAGGTATTGCTTCCAAGTATTAAAACCATTCCATATGACGGACCACCAACAAGGACAGCAGTGAAAACTTGGTTGGGCTGAATATGTTTGAAGTACCTTTCCACTTTGATTGGCTGGCTGAGACAGACAGCTCTTGGGGGGGAGGGGGGAGGAGGAAAGAAAAAGATATTATCTTCTTTTAAGTGAGAAAATGTTTGCTTGACCAGTTAGCTTTCTAGCTGACCTTGCTTCTTCTGAATCTTA